GGTCGGCTACATGGGAGTCCAGCGACATAGCCATTACGCCAACTGCTCGTCCCCCCTGGCTGTTTCTTGAGCTGTCCGCAGCCTCAGCCAGCCTGGACTGCAGGCACACAAAGGCCCAGCATGTTCAGGGAGGTCTCTGTGTACCAAGTGGCGCCCTTCCCACGTGGGCCTGCCCTGCAGAATGTCAGGTCTTACCACTGCACCACCATCTGGTGCCCCAGGTAAGCTTACAAGGTAGAGGTTCCTGCACTTACTGCAGTCGCTCTCAATCTCATTTACCAGTCTCTGTCATTCCTGTACAAATTCTCTAGAAAAGTTACTGTCCGAGCGGCTTTGAGACAGTGTGAGTTCTCCAGATCGAATTCTGTCGCTTTCTCTTCCAAGGGCGAGTTGGTGGTTTCCTGGGTGCAGATGTTGGGGAGATGGTACTGCCTAGCCCTGATGTGAGCCAGGCAGCCCCCACTCTTCCCCACTAGCAGTGGGAGATTCCTGGCCCAGTCACAGCTCTGCCACGCTCCTGCCCCGCGCGTGGCCCTGAGGACGTTCTCTGCCATGGCTCTCTGTGTCCCCTAGCCCTGCGTTCTGAGCTCACGGTGGCGGCCGCGGTCCTGGTGCTGTTGGTGATTGTGATCATCTCCCTCATTGTCCTGGTTGTCATTTGGAAACAGGTATATGTCTTTTCTTTTCTTTCTTCTTTTTCTTTTTCTTTTTTAGAGGTTTTTGTCATAGAGCGTGTACGCTTGCTGGAGAGAGACAGAGACAGAGAGAGGGAAACTGAGACATCACCACCTGGGGGGTTGGCCACACCACAATCCCTTCTTCTCCATTTTCCACTGGGGATTTTGGGCATGCATGCACACTCACCAGATGTAACTTCTAAACCTCTGGGTCTGGGGCTTGACCTGTGATTGGCCATGTGGGAATCCAGCAGCTTCACCACCATGCCACCTGCTGGCCCCAGGTTGATGTTTTTTCAAAGAACTGAAAAAATCAGTAAGAACAAAAATAGCAACCTGGTCCAATGCTTGGCACAGAGGAGCTCAGGGACTAGAGGACGAGTGGTCATTGTTGGGCCCTGCTGTGTCCAGCAGCGTGGCTGCTGCGGTGAGCTGGGGGCACTGGGATTTCTCTGGGAGCTCACCAGCATTCCTGTCCTGGTCATTTGTAGAAACCGAGGTATGAGATTCGCTGGCGGGTCATTGAGTCAATCAGCCCCGATGGACATGAATATATTTATGTGGACCCGATGCAGCTGCCGTATGACTCCAGGTGGGAGTTCCCGAGAGACGGATTAGTGCTTGGTAAGCTGCTCTGGGGGTGACCTCCCGACCCCATTCTCACTTGTCCACACTTCCCTGCTCATAGGCTGCGGCAGAGTGCGGGATCGGAGCTCTAGTTCCTAAGAGCTAGGCGATGCAGTTCCTAAGAGCTAGGCAATAGACATTCGCTTTCAGAAATAAGTTTCCCCCTCAAAAATGAGTTAACTGGATCACAGTTGGCAATGATTTAACAAAAGACCCACAGCCTCATTCCATAATAAATTATGGTTAAAGGGAATTTGCAAAGAGAGAATGAGTGCGAAGAAGCCTGGCACAGATCCCACCACAATGGCTTTGCTCTGAGAATGCCTTGAATTTGTAACGGGACGAGTCACTGTGCCTAAAACGGAACCGACGAGAGCCGGATGAGGACGGCCATAAAACGTGTCTTGATCCAGTGCGTTCCAAGGACGCATCCGATTCTTCCTAACATTCATTTGGACTGTGGAATATAAGAATATAGGTACATTTTCATGCACTTCGTGTGAAAATAAACAAGCTAGCTTATCACAAACTTTCAAATATTTCAGTCTTGGGCTGAGACCAAGGACATGAAGCTTTAGTCCAAGAGAGTAATATTTTTTTTTTTTTTAAATCATGTTCTCAACCAACGGAAAAAGACAAAGGCGAATTAAAGTTAGAGTTAAAATGTTGTGTCACGGTGGATAATCCAACAGCATGTACTTTGATGGATGCCAAATACAGGTTGTAATTATCTACCTGTCTCATTTCAAAAATACACAAGTTTAGGTTTTTTTTTAGGAAGTGACTTAAACTGAACTCAAACAAGGCATCCCATCTGACCCAAATTTCAAATACTTAACATCTAAGCTTTTTTTTTTAATTATATTTTCTTCCCTGTTGCCCCCAAAAAGGACGAGGAGCTTAGGGAAGTTAAAAAGTAATAAAATATGGAGAAAAAGGGCAAAATTCCTGATAGGCCAACAGGCAGCTTTTATCTCCGGGCTCCTCAGGTATCGCCACATTGCTGGTGAAACGGTCCCTCCGGGGTCCACTCTCCAGCAATGTGGACACGCGGGAAGGAGCCGTGTTGGCTGTGAGGCCTTTCTTGAGCTGTGCCCTGGCTTGGCTGTCCCTGGTGAGACTGACACCCTGTGAAACACCCTTCTCAGCCTGCGAGTCTTCAGTTTCTGTCTGCCACCGTGCTGTGCTCCCGGGGCTTGGTTGCTCCTTGCTGTACTGGCCTTGACAAACAGGGAGCAGTGAGCCCAGCGTGAGGCTGGAACCAGGGATGTTTGCAGTGGTGAAGGATTCATTGATGCAAAAGATGCCCCTGTTTGCAAGTGGAAAACAGAAGGGTAGAGAACAGGAGTGGAGGGAGGTGGGTGAGAGCCACAGAAAGCCAGCGCAGCGGCCCAGAGCCTGGCCCGGCACTGAGCTGGGAGGCAGAATGCTCACACCAGGGAGGACTGCCCCTTCTTCCCGTCTGCGGTTTCCTTTCCTGAAAACATTATTTGACAAAAGCAATTAGGCTGATTTCCTTTGCTATGGGCTCCATTCTGTGTTTGGCGTGAGCACTTGGTATGGGGAAATCAGCCGCCCCACTGTGCGCCACGGTGCTGGCGGGGTAAATGACACTGAGGAGATGCCCGGAACTGCCCTGTGCTAACAGTTCTGGTTGCCCACAGGTCGGGTCTTGGGATCTGGCGCGTTTGGGAAAGTGGTGGAAGGAACAGCCTATGGGCTGAGCCGGTCACAGCCTGTCATGAAAGTTGCGGTGAAGATGCTGAAACGTAAGTGCTACTCTCTGGGTATCTTTGCAGATGTTAAGTGAATCGCTCAAAGCCACACAGCTGGTAAATATCAGCTTTAGGACTAGATCCTGGTTCTTTTGACTCTAACCTTTATGTGTATCTAGACTATTTTGTCAATCAGGTTTATTTAGGTTGCTCTTACCCCCCACTTGTTGGAAAATTAAAGAGTTGTTAGTTCAGTGACTTTCTTTTTTTTTTTTAAGATTTTTTTGCTATAAGACACTTGCACTTGCCAGAGAGAAGAGAGATAGAGAGGGGAGAGTAAGAAGTCACCCTCCGGGAGGGGTGGCCACGCTGCAGTCCCTTCTCTTCCATTCTCCTCTCAGGATTTTGGGCATGCACGCACATGTGCTACGTGTGATTTTCAAGCTGCCAGGTCCAGGACGCAGACCTCCGCTGGCAATGTGAGAGTCTCGCGCCATAACTACCACACCACCTGCTGGCCCCTCCGGGACTCCGTTTTTACTTGAAAGATGAGGGATTAGTGATTAGAGTCCAGACCCAGACATGATCCGCTTCTCTTTTCGACTCTTGGGGAGAGACAGGACAGTGACGTGCTGGGCTTTTTCTGAGAGTGGAAGAGGGCAGGTCATCAGACTGATCGGGGCTGTGTTTCCTCAACAGCCACAGCCAGATCCAGTGAAAAGCAAGCGCTCATGTCTGAACTGAAGATAATGACGCACCTGGGGCCACACTTAAACATTGTGAACCTGCTGGGAGCCTGTACCAAGTCAGGTAGGCGCCCCGGCCTGCGAGTGAGCGCTGCGAAAATTGTCGAGGCAGGTGTTTGATCCCTAGACGTGCTAGTAAGTACGAGTCCCCTCAGTGGAGTCGGCGGCTCCCAATGGCGACAGGAGCTCGTACGTGAACGACCGTTCTTGCCAGTCCACACACAGCAATCCTCTGCTTCTCTGTGCTGTTTGTCCTCATCTTCTAACCGGTCTTGGTCCCCACAGGCCCCATTTACATCATCACCGAGTACTGCTTCTACGGAGATCTAGTCAACTACTTGCATAAGAACAGGGACAGCTTCCTCAGCCGCCACCCGGAGAAGCCAAAGAAAGAGCTGGACATTTTTGGACTGCACCCTGCTGACGAGAGCACACGGAGGTGGGTGTGGAGAGAGACCTTGCTGGGCACTGTGGTCCCCCAGGCCTCTCAGTCCTGGTAGGCCCAGGTCTTTAGACTCAGCGCCCAGGGTAGCAAGGCGTGGGGTCACACTGCCCCGTCCAGTCGTCCCTCATGGTACACGTAGACACTTGGTGTCCGAAGGTGTTTTGGATGGGGACCACACGACGGCCTTGCTGCCAGGTTTGTGTGAGAGCGGGAATGGAGTCATTCTGGGAGCCGCTCTGCTCCTCAGTTGTGATCCACTTAGGACTTGGAAGGCAGCTCTGGCCAGGGACACACATGAGATACTACCCGAGCATGTCCAGCCTTGCCGAGCCTGGGTCTGTCCATCAGTAATCGAGATCCCTGCTGTGGAAATCCATAATCCACTGTGAAGATCTCTGGATGCGAAGTTCTGGAAGATCAGAAACGACACTGAGTTCACTTTGTGGTAAATGACTCAGTGAGGACCAGCTAGGTGGCATGGTGGTTAAGGCAGCTCGACCCCACATGGCTGACTGTGCAGTTTGAGTCCTGGACCCAGCTACTTGAAAAACGTGCTGGACACATGTGCATGCGTGCCCCAAATCCTGAGAGAAGGATGAAGAAGGGATTGTGATCTGCCATCTCCCATGGGGTGTGATGTCTCAGTTTCCTTATCTCTCTCTCTCCCTGGTGAATAGATACACTCTATAGCAAGAAAAATTTCAAAAAAATAAAAGAAGAAAAGGAAAAGAAAAGTTACTCAACAAATACCAGATGGGCCCTAAATTAATTGGGTTTTGGGAGCTGCCTGGTTATGCCTCATGGCAACATGGCCCAGGTTCATGGATTGTGAACTGGAAAACAGAAAAAATAACAACAGAATTAATGTAATGAATTTTTCAAACTTCATCTTATTTTTAATTTTTTAAAAAGGTTATTTGCTTAATTTATTTATTATTTTTTAACTTGACCAGAGAGACAGAGAGGGGAAAGTGAGAAAGCAATCCATCAGATCCAGGACTCAAACCATGGTCAGCCATGTGGGAGTCCAGCGCCTTAACCATCACACCACCTGCCAGCCCCCAGAATTTTATTTTATTTTTAAAAATGCCTTTATTTATTGGGTCATCGGAAAAATCATGATGTATTTTTTCTACACAAAAATGTATCATGACTTTTCCGATGTCCCAATATTTTAGTTGCCCAGAGGGTGTCTGTGCTCACCAGAGAGAGCGAAACAGAAGTGGAGGGTGGTGGGGGGAGAAAACAGCTCCCCAGTGGGGTGTGGTCATGTCTCAATCCCTTCTCCATCCTATTGAGATTTTGGGCACACATGCACATGTGCCTGATGTGTGTTATAAGCCACTGGCGCTGGGATTCGACCATATGGGATTGAATGTGGCTGTCCATGTGGGATCTCTTGGGTCATCGGAAAAGTCATGACTCTTCCAAGGGACCCAGTAGCTCCCTTAACCACTGGGCGATGCCCTTACACTTTAAATACAACACACTTAGCTCCACTGTCTTTGATGTGGTCCCTGAGGGAGTCTGTGGCCCTCTGAAGACGGGTAGAGGACAGGCACTCACAACGGGCCAGTCGATAAGTATGTAGTGATAACGACAACTGTTGTAGAGCCCTTTCTGTCCCCCATGTGCTGTGTCATCCCCATAACCCCCTCGCCCCTCCCATCTTTGGGCATGGGTTCTGCTGCCTTGACCCCACACGGGGTGCTCTTCCTTAGAGGCTGTCAAAACCTCCCTTCCCTCCCAGCACACCCGAGCTTTTGAGACAATCGGTGTTTGTGGGACAACCCGACCTGTGTGGACTGGCCCATCTTTCACGCCCCTTGCTGCGTTCATGCCCGCTGTGGTCCCAGCACATGGCAGGCCCCCACACCATCCACCAGTGCCAGTCCCCAGGGGGCACCCTGGGTGAGGTGTCTTTCCTCCTTTCCACAGTTACGTTATCTTATCTTTCGAAAACAACGGTGACTACGTGGACATGAGACAAGCGTATACGACGCAGTACGTCCCCATGCTGGAGAGGAAAGAGGTTTCTAAGTATTCGGACATCCAGAGGTCTCTGTACGATCGCCCGGCCTCCTATAAGAAGAAACCCGCATTAGGTAAGAGTGTCTGCTCACTCTGGGTGTCCTGATCTTCTGGTGACATAGATACACTCTATAGCAAGAAAAATTTCAAAAAAATAAAAGAAGAAAAGGAAAAGAAAAGTTACTCAACAAATACCAGATGGGCCCTAAATTAATTGGGTTTTGGGAGCTGCCTGGTTATGCCTCATGGCAACATGGCCCAGGTTCATGGATTGTGAACTGGAAAACAGAAAAAATAACAACAGAATTAATGTAATGAATTTTTCAAACTTCATCTTATTTTTAATTTTTTAAAAAGGTTATTTGCTTAATTTATTTATTATTTTTTAACTTGACCAGAGAGACAGAGAGGGGAAAGTGAGAAAGCAATCCATCAGATCCAGGACTCAAACCATGGTCAGCCATGTGGGAGTCCAGCGCCTTAACCATCACACCACCTGCCAGCCCCCAGAATTTTATTTTATTTTTAAAAATGCCTTTATTTATTGGGTCATCGGAAAAATCATGATGTATTTTTTCTACACAAAAATGTATCATGACTTTTCCGATGTCCCAATATTTTAGTTGCCCAGAGGGTGTCTGTGCTCACCAGAGAGAGCGAAACAGAAGTGGAGGGTGGTGGGGGGAGAAAACAGCTCCCCAGTGGGGTGTGGTCATGTCTCAATCCCTTCTCCATCCTATTGAGATTTTGGGCACACATGCACATGTGCCTGATGTGTGTTATAAGCCACTGGCGCTGGGATTCGACCATATGGGATTGAATGTGGCTGTCCATGTGGGATCTCTTGGGTCATCGGAAAAGTCATGACTCTTCCAAGGGACCCAGTAGCTCCCTTAACCACTGGGCGATGCCCTTACACTTTAAATACAACACACTTAGCTCCACTGTCTTTGATGTGGTCCCTGAGGGAGTCTGTGGCCCTCTGAAGACGGGTAGAGGACAGGCACTCACAACGGGCCAGTCGATAAGTATGTAGTGATAACGACAACTGTTGTAGAGCCCTTTCTGTCCCCCATGTGCTGTGTCATCCCCATAACCCCCTCGCCCCTCCCATCTTTGGGCATGGGTTCTGCTGCCTTGACCCCACACGGGGTGCTCTTCCTTAGAGGCTGTCAAAACCTCCCTTCCCTCCCAGCACACCCGAGCTTTTGAGACAATCGGTGTTTGTGGGACAACCCGACCTGTGTGGACTGGCCCATCTTTCACGCCCCTTGCTGCGTTCATGCCCGCTGTGGTCCCAGCACATGGCAGGCCCCCACACCATCCACCAGTGCCAGTCCCCAGGGGGCACCCTGGGTGAGGTGTCTTTCCTCCTTTCCACAGTTACGTTATCTTATCTTTCGAAAACAACGGTGACTACGTGGACATGAGACAAGCGTATACGACGCAGTACGTCCCCATGCTGGAGAGGAAAGAGGTTTCTAAGTATTCGGACATCCAGAGGTCTCTGTACGATCGCCCGGCCTCCTATAAGAAGAAACCCGCATTAGGTAAGAGTGTCTGCTCACTCTGGGTGTCCTGATCTTCTGGTGACTTGGGCCAGTACTGAAGTACTGAGAGGCAGGTGAACAGGGAGGGTAAAAAGCCTGTCGCACCGCAGGTCCCGGAACGTCGCTCTGCACCACCCGTCTGGGACAGGTTTTCACAGGTTTGTGGGCTGCAAATGGAAAAGAATAAAGACAGACTCAGCGTGATGAAGTTTTTAAAGTTTAAATTTAATTTTTTGTTGTTGCAGTTTTGCTATAGGGCGTGTGCCCTCTCCAGAGAGAGAGAGAGTGACAGAGAAAGAATGAAAGTGAGAAATCACCCCCAAAGGGGGATGGCCACACTGCAATCCCTTTTCCTCCACTCTCCTCTTGGGATTTTGGGCACCGCACACGCACCCAGCATGATTTTTAAGCCACTGGATCCAGGACTCAAACTATGCAGTCGGCCCTGTGGAATCCAGGGCCTTAACCTCTATGCCACCTGCTGGGCCTAAGTGTAGCTATTTTAAAGAATTACTTATTCTGGGACCAGCAGTTAACGTAATGGCTATGTCACTGGACTCCCACGTAGTCGACTGCGGTTTGAGTCCCGGACCTGGTGGCTTAAAACTCACGCCGGGCGTGTGTGTGTGTGTGCCCAGGGTCCCGAGAGGAGAATGGAGGAGAAGGGATTGTGGCGTGGCTATCCCCCCCTGGGGGGTGATTTCTCGCTTTCTGTCTCTCTGTCTCTCTCTTTGTCTGTCTGGCGAGCGCACTTGTCCTATGGCAAAAAAAAAAAAAAAAGAATGATTTATTCTGATATAAGAATGATTTATTCTGATATAATGCCCTTCCTTTTCTATCAACATGTTTTTGTTTTCATTTTAAATGAGAGCATGATGATAGTTGATATTTTTTCGATGTCCTTATGTAGCAAAATTAAAAACTGGCCATGTTATGTTGGTTCCTCGTGCTGGTTTTTTCCGTAAGATAGAAAAGTCTCTATTTTCTGTGAGTTTTAATAAGTTTGGCTTTTAGCTTCCCTCACATCTAATTTAATGCTTGAAATCGGGTGGGAACTGGAGAGAAGGCAGTTTGAGGTCATGTTTTCTGACGGGCGTTTCTGTTGAATGCGGCTGGAAGGCAGAGCCCGTTCTCAAAGCGTGGGAGTATGTGGGGCAGGTTAAATGGAGTCAGCAATGCCAGGAGCCTGGGCAGTGCGTGTGCAGGGGCCACCTCACTTCTGCTCAGGGAGGGCCCCTGCCTGCTCAGGTGTAATCCCAGCCTTGGAGTCAGTGGCTCTGCTAGCCAGGCGGACGTTGGCCTGCCCCATGGTCTTGCCTCTCTGGTCTGAGCTCTGTCACTGGTCGGTACACAGAAGTGTCGAGCTGCCACGGAAACTGTTTTGAAAATCACTGCTGAGCTCCGAATGCTCCCAGGGTTCTTAAGGGAAAGGTACGATCCATTCAAAAAGGAATCTGTTTGTTTGCAGGGCTTGGTACCTAATAATATTTTCCATTTCTGCAGTTCCAAGTTCCATTCGCTTCTCGATGCCAAATGGGTGAACTTCCAAGCGCTTTTTTGAGATGAGCCAATGAGCGTGATCGGAACCAGTGTTTCCTCTCCCCTCCCAGAGGGTTAAAAATAGCTTGCATTGCTTCCCTGAGGGGCTGGTGGACTTGGCACCAGATTTCAGAGGAGCCTGAGTCATGCTTAGGCCCAGGCCGGTTGGCAGACACGATCTGCTTTCTGGCCTGCGCAGAGCTGGCTGAAAAAATGTGAATGGCTGGAACTTTTCTGCACTTGCCTGAAATTTTTCAAAAAGCACCGAGACGGGCTGGCCCAGATTGCTTCTTCCTCGAAAACCCTAGGCCCCGTCCAGACAGTACTCACTGGGGAAAGCGGACAAGTCACGAACGAAGGGGTCTTGAGGCAAAGGTGTCGGCACTGACCTTTAAGATCGCTCCTGCCTCGGATTGGTGGTTGATTTTATTGACGCACGAGAAGCCAAGTACTGTGGGGTGGTTGGAAAACTCCGACATGTTTTTCTATGTGAAAATGCGTCATGACTTTTGACTACCCAATATGAAGGTGGCTTTCAAAAGAAAAATAAGGGAACCAGCAGATGGCATAATGGTTACATCGCTGGACTCCCACGTAGTTGACTGTGGTTCGAGTCTTAGACCCAGTGGCTTAAAACTTACATGGAGCACATGTACAAGATCCCAAGAGGAGGGGATCAGCAGTTGGCATAACGGCTATGTCGCTGGACTCCCATGTAGTCGACTGTGGTTCGAGTCCTGGACCTAGTGGCTTAAAACTCAGGCCAAGCATGTGTGTATGCGTGTTCAAGATCTCAAGAGGAAAATGGAGAAGAGGGATTGTGGCATGGCTATCCATCCCTTTTGGGGTGATTTTTTGCTTTCTGTCTCTCTCCATCCTCTGGTGAGCACATGAGCCCTACAGCAAAAATCTCTCCTAAAAAAAAAATACAAACGGGACCAGCAGTTAGCGTAATGGCTATGTCGCTGGATTCTCATGTGGTTGACCACAATTCAAATCCTGGACCCGATGGCTTAAACTCATGCCGGGCGTGTGTGCGGGTGTGCCCAAGATCCCGAGAGGGAATGAAGTAGAAGGGATTGCGGCGTGGCCATTCCCCCTGGGGGGTGATTTCTCTCTTTCTGTCTCTGTCTCTCTCTGCCTGTCTGGCGAGTGCACAAGCCCTATAGCAAAAACCTCTCCAAAAAAAAAAAAAAAAAAAAAAAAAGAAAGGAAAGAAAGAAAGAAAATAAAACAATTCTCAGAAGCTCTATTTTCAAAGGGCCCTCATGTATATTTGTCATGGAAAATCTTAGTGTGTGTGTGTGTGTGTGTTTTAAAGGTGGCCGAAGTGATTTGCTAAAGTGAAGAAAGCATTTTGGTGGAGGAAGCTGGGGTACAGCAGTAATGCACAGCTTCAAGGACCAGATCTCGTGTGACCAACGAGGTCGAACCCCCACTCAGGCCTGGTCTGCCCAAAATATGCCCAATGTGGGTCGGGAGGCCCAGGATCTGACAGGCCCAAGGCTGAGGAAGGGGATCTGGTGTGTGCAGAGCCTGTGCAAGGGGCTCCTCTCTCCCCCCTCCCTCCTCTCTCTCTGTCATGTGTGTACATGCTCTATCATAAATAAAGAAGAAATGGGTTAAAAAAACTTCTCTAGCCACACAAAAAGTATGTGCGCAAACTCCTTAGAGAAAGAAGAGGAGACTGGGCCTCACAGGCATGTGTGTGTGTTTAGCGTAAACACACGACACTTGAGAACCGCAGGTTTGAACCGCATGGCTCCACTTCTGTGCAGAAGGCCTTTTCAGTAAATATATTGGGAGCCGGCAGGTGGTGTGATGGGCAAGGCACTGGATTCCCACATGGCCGATCACGGTTCAAGTACCAGACCTGGCGGCTTGCTTACTCACTTTCCCTCTCTCTCTGGTCAAACTGGAAAGTAATAATAAATAAATAAAATTAAATGAAATCATTCTTAAACAACACTACGGAACTGCGAGTGCATGCTCTCTTTCCTGTGATTTTTCTTTTCTTGCGTTCCTTCCTTTTCTTTTTTCTTTCCTTCCCTTCCTTTTTCTTTCTTCTCTTTTAATTGCCAGAGAGAATGGGTGCTCAGCAGGGGGTGGGGGTGGGCTGGAAGCACCCCCCCGATGGGGCGCAGTCATGCCAAGCCCCTTCTCCACCTCTCAGTCCTGTCAGCATGTTGGATATGCATGCACATGTGGCCTCTGTGCTCTGCAAGCTGCCCAGGTCGGATGGTCTGTGGTCAGCCATGCGGGGTCTGAACCTTTTAACCACTGAGCTATGGAGCCAGCCTCTTTTTTTTTTTAAGTTTATATTTGTATTTCTAACATGAGTGAGAGAGAAAGTGAGAGAGAAAGAGAGTGACAGGAAGAAGTAGAAACAGACGCAGCGTCCCTGGCAGGTCCTGACACTGTGATCCCCCTCCAGTCCCAGTCGGCCCAGGTCAGGGCACACATGTGCCCGGTTTACTCAGCGGGTCTCTGACTGGCAGCCTCCCCCTCTGGGTCTCCTCTCACAGCACCCCACTTACTGCTATTGGACTTCCTGTGATTTTCTTTGTTTTCTTTTCTTTTTTGGGGGAAGATATTATTGCTATAGGGTGCATGTGCTTGCCAGAGAATCAGAGAGAGACAGAGATATAGAAAGTGAGAAATCATCCCCCAGGGGAGATGGCCACACTGCAATCCCTTCTTCTCCAGTCTCCTCCTGGAATCTTGGGCACACCCACACACACATGCTCGTTGTGAGTTTCAAGCTACCAGGTCTGGGACTCGAACTACAGTTGGCCATGTGGGAGTCCAGCAACGTAACCACTGTGCCATCAGCTGGCTCTCCTGTGATTTTCTTAATGGCACTTTTTTCTCTTTAGCTTATTTATTATAAGAATACAGTATATGGCACGCAGAGCATACAAACATGCTACTTACTGTTTATATAGTTGGTAAGGCTATGAGCAGTTAAGTTTTGGGAGAGTCAGAAGCTACATGTAGATTTTTAACTGTGCGGAGGCTCTGCACTTCTAACCCCAGGATCTGTGTTGCTCAGATTGTCCAAAAGCCAATTGTATGTGTGCACACGTGTTTGTTTGTTTGTTTGTTTTGGAGAGATTTTTACCATAGGGTGCATGTGCTCGCCAGACAGACAAAGACAGAGAGACAGAAAGCGAGAAATCACCCCCCAGGGGGAATGGCCACACCGCAATCCCTTCTCCTCCATTCTCCTCTCAGGATCTTGGGCACGCACACACATGTGCCTGGCGTGAGTTTTAAGCCACCGGGTCCAGGACTCAAACCTCGGTCGACTATGTGGGAGTCCAGTGACATAGCCATTACGCTAACTGCTGATCCCCACGCGTTTATGTTTTAATGTCAGAGGGTCAATGTATGTGAATGAGAGAGAGGGAGCGTGGATGAGAGAGGAAGCACTCCTGGGTGGGCCTGCTCATGCCACCATCCTTGTTCCTGCACACACATGTACCGACGTGTGAGCTGCCAGGGCTGGGACTCGAACCCTGGTCAGCCACGTCTGATCCAGCCTCGTCTGCGCAGTACTAACCGCTATGGGGCCTGTATGTTTCGGCACGCATACCATCCTGCACCCCATAGTGACATTCCAGGCGCGGCAGAATGCACGTACTGTGGTCTCATAAGGTGGTAGGTTGAGCGTCCCCACACTGTAAATGCAAAACCTGAAACGCTGCAAAATCGGAACTTTTTTGGTGCCGACATGATGAAAATGATCTGATCTCAAGTGACAGGTCTTGGCCGAAACAAAAGATTGTATTGAGCTACTGTCAGGCTATGTGGATAAGTGTGGAGGAAACAAAACATCTTCTGTTCATACTTGGGGGTGCCATCCCCAAGATAAGCTCTTGAATATGCAGATATTTCAAAGTCTGGAAAAATCCTGAAACACGTCTGGCCCTGAGTGTTGGATAAAGGATACTCGCTCGTGACGGAAGGCTGTACCGCGTGGACGAGGCGTGCAGGAGGCAGTGCTATCTACATTTGTCCATCGCTCCCTGACGTCTGTGTGATGACAAAATCCTCTAAGGACGTGTTGTCAGGGGCACATCTCTGTCATTAAACGAAGTGGGACCGTGTTTATAATTTAAGGCAGAAACGCTGCGTAGTTCAGATGTCCGCCTGTGTGCTGTGGACGCTCTATAAGGAAATCCTTCCTGAAAGGATTGAGAAGGGTTTTTTGGTCAAGCCTCTGCAACCTGACATAGCTCTGGGCAGCGGAGTCACCGTGGAGGGTGATCTTTCGTGCTGTCTATCACTGACACATTTAATGCTTTTTCTGCAGATGCTGAAGTCAAAGACCTGCTGTCGGATGATAACTCGGAAGGCCTTACTTTGTTGGATTTGTTGAGCTTCACCTATCAAGTGGCCCGAGGCATGGAGTTTTTGGCGTCAAAAAATGTAAGTGCGAGGAACAAAGACCTCTTTCGACCCAGCCACAGATCAGAGCATGGAGGGGGGCGTGGAAGGAGCTGAGGTGGACCGTGGACAGCCCAGTAACAATGGCGGCTTCTCACGCGCTCCTTCTCTTCCCCTGAGCAGGGCAGGGACCTTTCCCTCTCTTGGGGTGTTTGGAGAGAGAGCCGGAGGGGAAGCAAGCTCCTTATGTCAGGATGGTCCTCTGAGATGTGCTGGCGGGCTCCGGTCACTGCCCTGAGCTGCCAGTCTTGCTGCAGTGACGGATCGACCCCGAATCATTTCTCTTGTCCACGCAGTGTGTCCACCGGGACCTGGCTGCTCGCAATGTTCTCCTGGCTCAAGGAAAAATTGTGAAGATCTGTGACTTTGGCCTGGCCAGGGACATCATGCATGATTCCAACTACGTGTCGAAAGGCAGCGTACGTACTCCGCCCTTACCCCGCAGGCTCGTGCCTCCTCACTTTAATCTCTGAAGTCGGCTGTTGCTTCTACCTCCTGGCGTCCGTGTTTTTCACGTGCAGTCCATGAGATGGGACTGGGGGTCGGTGTGAAAAGCACAAGCCAGCGGCCACATGGCCCGGGTGTGAGTACAGCCTCACTGCTTGCTAGATTGGGACTTGGGCAAGTTACCTGACCACTCTGTACCTCGGTTTCCTGCTCTGCAGCAGAGACCCACCTGCTGAGTCAGCGACGTGAGACTTACTCAGCGAATTCTAGTAAAGCACTTAGGACTGCACCTGGTTCTAGAAGCCCCAGTAGATGTCGGCTCTGCAGCGTCAACTGTGCAGGGGCACCGACAGGCGTTCCTTTCCAAGGACGGCGTGTCTAGCTTTTAAGCAGACAAGCGCCTGTGACCCTCAGCGTGTTAAGGCCGTCCGAGTTAATGTGTCTTGGAGGCAGGTTCCTTAAACACACTCGTTCTGTCGTGTACCTGATCCACCCCAAAGTGGGCAAGGTCGCATGGTGTACATTGCCTCTGCGGGGGCAGTTCTACACGGCTGAGAGTTGGAGACTGCCACGCCACCTGCAGAAGGGGCTGGACGGTGTCTTTGTGTGACCCGCGCTCAGTTGGCTGTGGCCTCAGCCAGGGCCTAGCCCTACACAGCCCAGTCACCTTGGACAGAGGGCGGGACTTGGGCGGGCGGACGTGCCCCCTGCTCACAGAGATGCCTGTGTGTGAGTGCTTGTCTTCAAGGGCTGGAGGGTGCCACTCCGGCAGCTTTGTGTGCTTGCCTCTGATAAGTGTTTCCAGCAGAGCTTGGGCCAGCTTCACCAAAGCGCTGCAAAATTCATCTTAATGTATGATTGTTGGTTTTTCTGTTTTAATTGTTTGCTCTAGGGCATGTGCACTCACTAGAGACAGAGAGAGGGAAAGCGAGAAATCACCAGAGGGGGATGGCCACACCACAATCCCTTCTCCTCCTTCTCCTCTCAGGATTTTAGGCATGCATTCGCATGTGCCTGGAGTGTGTTTCAAGCTGCTGGGTCCAGGACTCTGTGCAGTTAGCAGGATCCGGCTACCTTAACCTCCTTACCACCTGCTGGCCCCAGTGTCCGACTATTTGTTTTAGAGTTGTAGAAAGTTACTATTTATTTCTTACACTTCAAAAACTGTATTCAGCTTATAGATTGTGGAGTCTGTTCTTAATTTTGTCCCTAGGGATTTTTGAAAATAAGACCTTGACAGGCCCATTCAAGGCTCACACTTTTTGGGTAGCAATCCAGGGATGGACGTTTCTGGGTGTTTCTCCTTTGGAGGCCACAGGAAGCATTGGCTAGCTACTGAGCATCAAAGAGTACCCAGAGACCTGAACGCACATGGGGCCCTTGTGGGCAGGGTGCTTGGTGTGGGTTACTCTTGCCCGGGAGGACCCCTGACCCTCTCTGCTGCTGTGGATGGTGACGGCACAACCGAGTTTAATCGCCTCCTCCCTCCCCACAGACCTTCCTGCCCGTGAAGTGGATGGCTCCGGAGAGCATCTTCGACAACCTCTACACAACGCTGAGCGACGTCTGGTCCTACGGCATCCTGCTCTGGGAGATCTTCTCCCTCGGTAGGGGTCCGACGCCGTCACTGTGCAGCCTGCTCTGGAGCAGATGCACTTCCCAGCCCCAGGGAGCGTGGCCTCCTGCTGTGTATCAAGCATGCTTTGGGTGCCTCCCACCGCACTGGGGCCCTAACCATGTCCGCTATGGATCCGTGCAGGCTGAGGCAGGGCTGTTGGGGCAGCCCCCTCACCCTGGTCTCTGCCTTCCTCTCCTTTGGGCTTTGTTAAGGAGACCACCCCCCCTCCCGGAAGTGCTCCTGGTGGCATCTGCTCGCTGTTGGCCTCCCGACGCCTGGGCATGTGGGGAGCTGCCCTTTCCTCAGCTGACAGTGGCTGATGCTCAGGGGAAAGGGCAGGGGCCAGGCTGCCCTCCTGGCCACCTTCTGGAGGAGAGAGCCCCCCAGGTGTGCAGCTGGCTAGTCACCAGGTGCTGAACAATCCAGGTACTCCATGCTGCCGGGTGAGGGCCCCAGAGGAAGCCGGGTCTTGGCCAGCCCCTGGATGGTTCACCTGGGGAGGTCAGGGGGCCACACCTAGGGATGCCTGTGTGGTTCTGGCTTTAAATCGTGTTGGGCTGTCGGGAAAGTCACGAAGCGTTTTTGCATAGAAAAACACGCCATGACTTTTCCTGATGGCCTAAGAGTTTGAGTTTGAGGAAGGAGAAAGGCAAAAAAGAACGATTTATTTAATTATTATTGTCATCATTTTTATTTGTTATAGGGCACATACACTCACCGAGGACAGACAGAGTGAAAGAAAAGGAAAGCGAGACAGCTGGCCACCAGGTTCAGGACTCAAACCGAGGATGGCCATGTGGGGGTCTGGGGCTTTAACTACCATGCCGCTTGCTGGCTTCTCACTCTCTCTCTCTCTTTAAAGTTTCTTTCTTTCATGAGAGAGAGACAGACACAAAGACGCACACAAAGACCCAGGGAGAGCACCCCCAGCAGGGCCCTCGCGCTGCACTCCATCCCATTCTCAGCTGGTCTGGATCACGAACCTCCGTGCATGTCTGGGACACGAACCCAGCACCTTTCTCACATGAGTCTAGTGCGCTGTTGCCACACCATTGACCCCAGCACTTTTTCTAAAGATGTAGGAGTTTTGGCTAAAGTGCTTGGACTTAACCAGCTTAGAGCGCTAGCTACATTTAAAGTTCAAGCAGGCCTTGGAAGTCAAGGGCGGTCACTCTTAATTTCCTTGAAGGAGCGAGAACAGCAGGACGTCCGGGTGGCCTGTTCCCAGGCCCGTGGCAGTGCTCCGTCACCCCTGTACTCAGCAGCGCTCTGCATGTCCGTTGACCTTCGCTGTCTTCTTTGGCTTGCAGGTGGCACGCCCTACCCTGGCATGATGGTGGATTCTACTTTCTACAATAAGATCAAGAGTGGGTACCGGATGGCCAAGCCCGACCATGCCACCAGTGAAGTGTGAGCCCTCCCTCATCCTGTGGGCCTGCCCGTGTGCTGGTGGGGCTGTGGGGCAGGGATGCCCTGACACTCCGCCCGCGCCCACTCTCTGTTCTGGGCCTCTCTAGCTACGAGATCATGGTCAAGTGCTGGAACAGTGAGCCAGAGAAGAGACCCTCCTTCTACCACCTGAGCGAGATGGTGGAGAATCTGCTGCCCGGACAGTATAAAAAGGTTCGTTCGAGTCTGTTAAGACTGGGGGAAGGAATGGGCGAAGGGAGGAGGGATTAGGTACATTGCTGAACAGTGCTGTTCAACACAGGGTTTTGTTTTGTTTTGTTTTGTTTCTGAGAGATTTTTGTTATATGGGGCATGTGCTCGCCACACGGAGAGAGACAGAAAGCGAGAAATCACCTCCTCCCGGGGAGAGGATGGCCACACCTCAATCCCTTCTCCTTCATTCTCCTCTTGGGATTTTGGGGCATGCACGCGCATGTGCCTGGCATGAGTTTTAAGCCACCGGGTCCAGGACTCAAACTGAATTCAATTATGTGGGAGTTCAGCGATGTAACCATTACACGATTTCGCGCAGTTAACCCTTACCCCATCTGGTCCCAAGGTTTTTTTTTTTTTTTTTATTTACCATAGAGCACATGTGCCTGCCAGAGAGAGAGAGACAAGAGACAGAGCGAGAAAGGGGTGTGAGACATGACATCCCCAGGGGGGTGGCCATGTCATAATCTCTTCTCCTCTGTTCCCCTCTTGGAATTCTGGGTACACATGCACAAACACAGCTTGTTTTTCATGCTGCCTATCTGGGACTCGAACCAGGCAGTCAGCCATGTGGCATCTAGCTGTCTTTTTTTTTTTTTTTTTTTTAGGGGTTTTTGCTATACGAGCTATAGGACGCGTGCGCTTGCCAGACAGACAGAGAGAGACAGAGAGACAGAAAACGAGAAATCACCCCCCAGGGGGGATGGCCACGCCGCAATCCCTTCTCCTCCATTCTCCTCTCAGGATCTTGGGCATGCACGCACACACACTCGGCATGAGTTTTAAGCCACCGGGTCTGGGACCCGAACCGTGGTCGACTACGTGGGAGTCCAGCGATGTAGCCATTATGCTAACTGCTGGTCCCGGCATCTAGCTGTCTTAACCACTGTGGCATTGGTTGGCCCCAACATCTAAGAGAACATTTTCAAAGGAGGGTAAAGGCCGTGTGAACCGAGGCCTTGGTGGCGTGCTCCATGGGTCCCTGGTAGCGATGATGAATGAAAGTCCCCCCCTTCCTGCAGGGCCCCGCTTCATCTGAAGTGTGCAACACCTGTAAACACTTGATTCTCCAGACGTCTGAGCATCCGAGGCCACTGTGCAGTGAGCCATCTGAGGGCATGCACGGCCATTACATCGCTAATTTGAATGCACTTAAATCCATGTGAAATTGGCTCTTACCGGCAGACTGGAAGGAGCAACCTCAGCTGTTATCTGTGGCTCCAGCTGGGTTGTGTGGAATAGGAAGCATTGTTCAGAGGAACAAATGTAATTTCATGGGATCGAGCAGGACATGTAAATGAGCGAAACGACTTTCTGACAAGGAAACCCGGGTGACCTTGCGTAATAAACCCAGTGTCTTAGATTCTGGCTGGTCGCGGTGTTGGCTTTTCACACTTGTCGTGTCTCCTCCTCCTTCTCAAGGAGGAGGTTGTGCTCTGAACTGGAAGAGTTACGTTTGCTCCTTAGTGAGGCGGAGGGGAGGCTGCAGGAGACAAGCGTGGGTCAGTCGAAGGTGCTGTGGTTGGCGGAGGTGTGTTGGGGGACACACTGAGTGACTACAATTGAATATGGGGACTCCCCTGTCAAAGGCTGGACTTCCAAACACTTAGGGATCGGGAGGGTTTTGGGTACTGTGCACCCAGTGTAGGCTCTGGTCACTCTTGTGTACCCATTCAAACCCTGGAGAGCTGGTGGCATGGGGACAGCAGGGTCATACCTGTGCTGTATGGAGGTGGGGGCACATGGTCATAGCTGCTGACGTGGAGAAGGGGTCTTGGCGCCCAAGACCCACCACTAGAAGCTGTTTTTGTTTGTTTGTTTGCTTTTTTTTTGGTGTAGGGCAAAACAAAGAGGTGGGGGGTGTGAGACATCATTCCTTGGGGGGATAGCTACACTGCAATCCCTCTCTTCACTCTCCTCTGGAGATTTTGGGCATGCATACACACGTGCCCAGTGTGTTTTTCAAACTGCCAGATCTGGGAC